ACAGACTTTGCACAGCTTTATTACGGAACTGGAGACCAAAACATTAGTTGCCAACTGATCTAGAAAACAGGGGTTCTGTTCCTCTGCCTTTAATAGTAGCTTGAGAAGTCAGCCAATGAAACTCTTCATCAGGTCAGAGAGGTAATCACTTGCCAAGCGTCTTATCTCCCCAGGATCCAGTAAGAAGGCTCCTCTACAGATTTCTGCACAGCTATAAGAGCTGGCTGAAGAAGCAACTGTTTATTGTGAGGGGGTTGAAAAGTACAACTCCTGCATTTTGCTTTGTTATAGGGTGGCGGTGGTGGGGAAGATCCTGGAAATTTGGGCTTCTGATGTGTGTGTCCCCCCCCCCCAGCTGCATTATGAGCTTACAAGCAAGGGCTTTTGTCAAGAGCTCCTGAACTCCCAGCTGAGTGTGCAGTTCTCAGAACAAGGAGCAAACAGAACAGCTGTTCTCAGCCAGCAAGGTGACAGATTGAGGGGGGGGTGTTGTCATTGTAATAAGCCAGGATCTTCTAAAAGCATAAGCTTAATCACACACACAACTCCCTGCCCACCCCACAGCCAATTAGGCAGCTCACCAGGTGCCCTTGGGAGGAAATAGGGATGAATATAGTAAATACCTTGGCCAGAAGAAAGCCCATGTTCTGTTCACAGCATCCCATAACCAGATGTTGTGAGGGAAGCCCAAGGCTCCCAAACCCCTTGGCTCTTCAGGCAGGAGCATTTGCAGGTGAAAAAGCAGGGCCGGAGGGATGCATCTCAGCCCTTCCCCTGCTGTTCTGTTCTGTCCACAACAAAGGACAAAAAAACCCACACCCAAATTGGGAATCAAAATTAAGATTTCTATTAAACCCTTCACCACTGGCAGACTCGTCAGCCTTAGATGAATGGCTTCACCTCCAGTTCTCTGGGTGTTCCCTACCCGATGTTTGAATCTCCAGAAAGGAACAAGATGGTGTACATGGGATTGTACCACTTGAAGCTTGACTGCACTGAGGCAGGCCAGGCAGAGATGTTGAGCTCTGGCCAAGCTCCCCACCCCCATGTGGGTGCTATGGCAGAGGATCAAGCTAGTCACAACCGAGAGAGATGCATGACTGGCTGGCCTGTGGGTTTTTTAAATGCTAGAAGCAGATGAAGAGTGTCAGAGTATGTGCATGTGGGCTTACTTGGATTAAGGCTGAGGCTCCAGGGGAAGGGAGGGGGGTTAGCCTCCCCCTCCTCCGTGGTTTCTTTCTTAATGCAAATGTTCCTAAGCTATTTGGCCTATGGGGTGGGGGAAGAGGCACCCTATAGCCAAGGGTCTACGGCCTGCAGCTGTATAGCCCAATCTGACAATGATTTAAAAATGAAATTTTACAAGGTATATTGGAGAGATAGGTGGGATGTTAGAACATCCAGCGTGTGAAGAGAATGGCAGGCAAGGATTTATATGGAACTAGAAGGCTTTTTAAAGATGCTTTACAGAATGGGAAAAGAGAGGTGATCAGTTACCATCAACCGCCCCTCCCCCCTGCTAGGTGACCTTGGACTAGTCATTCAGCTTAGCCTACCTTCACAGGGTTGTTGTGAGGATAAAATGGAGGAGTGGAGGATGGTGCTGTAAGCCACTGTGTGCCACCATTTGGGGAAACACCTGTGCATAAATATCTAAACAAGCATAATACCAACTATGCAGAAAGGTCAGCCAGCACAAGGAACACACCCACAAATCATGCAGCACCTTGCCACTGCACTCACCAGAACCCAAGCCTGTCAGAAATAGCGTAAGACCAGTCCACTGGTGCTGACTTTCCACAGGCTCAGGGTTTAAGAAGCAGCTTGTATTTTGGGGGGGAAAATTGTGGCAGTCTTGCAATTGCTTGGAATGGTTTGGGATGAAGCGTGCTGCTTGGCAGAGGGATGGTGGGAGCTTAAAGGTTCCAGCACTCAAAAGATGCCAACATCCTGACTTGCCTCTTTTGTCAAAAGTCAGGGAAAGCCTGGCTCTACACAGACTCCATGTACCTGTAATAGCCATACAGTTCTGTTATTACCTCCCTTGCATCTTTAGACCATCAGCAACACAGGGCCATTGCCAAACTTCAAAAAAAGAGGGGGGGGGAGAGTAAGTACTCCAAGACACATTGAGCAGGTGTAACATTTGGCAGAGGGAATGAAAGGGCATCAAGAAAGCTGTGCCTGCTCGATGTGTGTGCCAGGCTGCTATAAAAGGCACAGGAGCAGAGCCACGTTTTATTTTTATTTTTACAGTTCTGTTATTACCTCCCTTGCATCTTTAGACCATCAGCAACACAGGGCCATTGCCAAACTTCAAAAAAAAGGGGGGGGAAGTACTCCAAGACACATTTAGCAGGTGTAACTTTTGGAAGAGGGAATGAAAGGGCATCGGGCAGGGCAATTTCCTATGCAATTAAGGGCAACCACACAGACAGCCACAAGCAGCCAGTTTGGAAACTCTCCACTTCAGATCCTAGGACAAAGTAGAGCCCATAGAGATGCAAAAACCTTGGACTCAGCAGTACTGAAGGCGAAGGCACACAGAAGCATTACCTAGTTGGCTAGGGCTCATCCCTGCAGCTGCAACCCTATCAATGCCAGACAGCTACAGGAGACTAGACCCACCTGCCCCAGGAGAACTGGCAGCCTAACACCGAGCAGCCATTAGCTGTAGGCCAAAAACCGGACAATTCTCACCTGTTGTTTTCATAGCATTGACAATTTCCCAGCTCTAGTGACCTCATCATATATGTAACTTGGCTTCCAGAAGAATGAAGCAAAGCCACCATGCCACATACATAGTGTAAGGACTGATGCAAAAATGACACAACCACTTGAATGCAAAAAATGTTTACTACACTTATCCAAAATCAAAAACCATCGGTGTGCATGATCTGGATCCCCCCCCCCAGCCCTTTCCTTCCTCTTTACTCAGTCACATGCTTATCCGTATGCAAGCTGAACTTGAGTACACTGCTGACCCCTTAACCCGCCTGGCTCATGGCCTTGCTTTCACTTTGGAGTGTGGTGCCTCCTTCTGAGAGGCATCTAGCAGAGAGCACTCGCCATCTCTCCCCTTCCCCCTCCTGCGTCACCCAGCTTTCCTGCAACTATTTCCTGAGATAAGCTGCAACCTTCCCACTCCCCACCCCCGCTTTGGCTGCTCCCACCTATGCCTTTTGCCAGAGAGAGAGAGAGTGATCAGAACTAAAGCTTTTACAGGAGTAATTCTACCCCAACAAGATGACTTGGCCCAAGCCAAGTCTATGGTGCCTTCCCCAAACCCCTCTTTGTATTAATTCTAGGAGGGCCCTTCACTTAGTAAGATACCATTGTTGGCAATCACCTGGTTGGCCTTCCTAATGCTTCCACTTGCCTGTGCCCGCTGTTTGTGCGTGATCCACAGCATCCAAGACCCCGCCTGGATTGGTTAACAGAGGTTGTCCACATTATAAACTTACCCACATTAATTTCCATGGCTTCTCTCTCCCTAGTTTCAAAGAACAGGGGAATGGCTCTGACTATTCTCAGCATCCTCCAAAGTACCCAAACAAGTTAAATCCCAAAGGATCCCTTCAGTTTACATTTTGCAGGCCCAATGTGCCTTCTGTGAATGTTTTTGCTCTCTATCCTTGGGGCTTCCAAAATTGTTCAGGGTGACAGACAGAACGTGCCATACAACCGGGCCTTCCCTTCCCTGCTCCACTCTTTGAAAAAAACCTGCTGCTCTATAAATAGTAAAAGAAAAAAGTTTAAGAGCATCTGGACTTTTTTAAATGTGAGGAGGAGGCGGGGGGGGGGGAGCTGGAATCCAGACTCTGGAGGTGACGCGGCAGGCAGGATGTGGCTGGTAAAGAGCGCGCCTCTGAGATGATTACAGAAAGATCAGCGGCTCAGAAGCCAAAACCACACGCATTCTGGGACTGGAGTGTATGTGGGGAGATTCCCCTACACTGTAGCCACATCTCCAGATCCTTTCAATATTAGAAGACTGTCACTATAAGTGACAAAATGCACGTTGCTCTCACAGGTCATGCCAACAAACCCTGCTGTACGAAGAGTTCCATTGTTCAAACTGTGGTTTAGGAGCACCTGAGCCAAAAGGCCTTTAGGTCAGATCTGTACAGTTCTTGACCATTGATGGACTTACCGGCAAAGTAACCAGGGTGCCAGACATTTTGCAGTTCTTCGAACCCAGTGCCCCTTAGCTATCTTGTGTAGCCTCTCCACTGCAGTTCCAATACCGCTTCCCAAAGCTGTTTTTATCCCAGGTCTGGCCAACATCCCATATACAGGCCACCAGCACTAATCTCAATGCTACTTCCATGCCCTAGGGTCAACATGCCAATTCTGCTAACACCCCTTCAGCCCTACAACAGAGCCCACAACTAACATTCCATGTCCATCCAAGATTGCTAGAAGGTTCCACTTAAAAAAAACAACCCCTCCCTGCTGGTTAAGGAGCCCAGACCAGACCACCTCTTCCCACAAGTCATCTAACCCATTTAAAAAGCAACTCAGTTGCATTACTCAATATATCTCTACCCTGTTCCTGGAATGGAAGCCGCTTCAAAGCAATCCTCCCAGAAATGCAGAACACCAGATCACTTGTGCTTCTTTGGCCCTACAGTTTGCTATATTTCCTTTTGAGATTCCCTAACCTTCCCCCCCCCCACACACTACTTCAAGGGCTCTGGCTTGCACATTTGCTCCCAAATTCTCACCAACACCTACTTGGAGCAGCTTGTTTCCTCATGAAGTCAAGCTGCCCTAAGCAACGCCAGTGTCCATCGCCTGGAAAGCACAGCCAAGCCTACTGGCCTTGAGATCTGCTTGGAAGCTGAACGGTCTAGAGCCCCTTGAACCACCCCAACAGAGGTTCAAATCCTCTTACTGGTAAAAAAATAAATAAATAAATAGTCCACTATTTTTTAAAAAGGAGAAGCAGCCTGGCCCCTATCTGGCCCAGCCTCACTTCCCTAACCGTGCACAGCCCTTTACAACTGGCTCTCTTCCTCTTCGAGAGAACGGTTCAATCCAGGGATGAACTTGAGGAGTCTTTTGCGGAAGCTTCCGTGTTTGCTCTTCCTGGGCCGTGGCGTCCCTGTGGCGTTCTTTTGGTCACATGACTTGTCCCAGAACCGGGCAGCTCCATTGCTGCTGGCACATTTGACGCTGGCACTGCGGGTTAAAGCTGGCCGCGGCCGTGCAAACTGGGCGGCTGCAGGGAGAGCGTCCAGGGAGTCGGCAGAGTCAAAGAAGCAAGTCTGATATACAGAATCCTCACTCTCGTCTGTGGCTGTGCTGACGCAGCCCACGCTGCTGTAAGTGCTGCTTGAACTTGGCAACAACATTCCAAAAGGTATGGACCCTTTGGCCAACCCGGTGCCATACAGGCAGGAACGCACAGACTCCAAGGTGTCATAAATGCTGGGGTCTTTCACCACAATGCCTAGCGGGAGAGATCAGAGAATGACTGGAGCAAGTATGGGGACATGTGACCATCTCACAAAAGACAGAACCAGGCCTGAATGTTTGTTTCCCCCAAACTCATCACATTTATTTATTTTTTATTTATTTTCGTGATCACTACCCACCCTCCCCCACAAGCAGGTTCAGTATGAATCACAACAAGTGGATAAAACAGTTAAAATACACCATATATACAGTTTAGAAACTATAAAACCCGTAATACAATACATGGCGGCAAGTGAATAAACAAGCTCCATGGTGTATGTTGTATCTGTGCCTAAGGGCTGGCCTACCAGAATGTGGGTACACCATTCAATAGAGTGCATAGCACAACACAAGCTGAGGCGGAGTAGGGCAGGCCCCCCCGATGTGGTCAACACAAGCTGAGGCGGAGTAGGGCAGGGGGGTCGACGTGGTTTGACATCTGTAGCCTCAACCAAAGGCCTAGTGGAACAACTCCACAGGGCCCTGATCGCACTAGGGAGAGTGTTCCACCAGGCTGAAGCCAGCGCTGAAAAGGCTCCGTTTGAGGCCAAATGGATGTCTTTTGGGACAAGGATCAGCAGGTATTATGTCAGCCGAACATAAGGATCTCTGGGGAACATATTGGGAGAAGTGGTCCTTCCCATCCTGCAAGGACCTTCTACCTTCAACCATCCTGTGAGGTGTACCAAATTGAGCAAATGACTGGCCCAAGGCCAGCCAGTGGGCTTCATAGCAGAGTGGAATTTGGAAATGGGGTCTCCTTAGTCCGACATGGAGGGAGAAGGGGTTTCCCCACTTGGCTCAGGTGACGCTCCATAGTTTGGGTCCCCAGTCTGAACCACAGTTCTCTAGCAGTCCCATGTCAGCCTTCAATTACTTAGTTGTACATAGAAGGCAGAGGCCTTCCCAGGTTAGACAAGAAAACCCGGATGTTTTTTCATTGTTAGTAGGTGCTTTAGCCCAGCATCAGTGCTCCAAGACCCCACCCACACGTAATATGGGGCAGGCTGAGGAGTGCGGTCAGCGGGCAGGAGGCGGAGCATTGCTGCAAGAAAACGTGATTACAAATTGTGTCTGCTGAAGACAGAGGCTGAACGACTACTAAAAGAGCGTAATAAAAAGACGACAAGAAAATGTTGATCAGCGATAGCACAAGCATAGTGGAGAAGAGAGAAGCTCTCTCTGTTTGGCACCGTGCAGTCTCCACAGGCCTCCCAAGTGCTCCTGGGCTTGGAATTGTGAGGAGTGCTCTCAAGTAAGGTAGTAGCAGAATTTAAAAGGGGTCACAGACAGACTGGGAGGCTGAGCTGTGTTGCAGGGCCTTCCATGATATATCAGAATTATCAGGTTAAGGTGCCCAGAATGCTCATGCAAAGGCATTCTACGTAACTCTGTAGCAAAATATTACTGGGAAAATGCAATCCCCACCCCAGACCAAGATACTGAGATCTTTCTCCTCGCAATGCATTGATTGTGTCACAAAGGGAATGCTTGCGAGGGACTCGGTTTGCCACATCAGAAGACAGAGCTGGGGGAACACCAACACCCATTTTGGAACTGCTCTGCAACTATGGGTGCTCTGGATGCTGCTTGCCTCCCCCCCGGCCACTCACCATGGACCAGGCGCTGCTCCTGCACCATCAGTGACCGATACTCTCCCCATTTCTCATATAGTGTTTGCTGAAATGGAAAGAGGCCCATTAGCTATGGCTGCAAATGCACAGAATAAAATCACTTTTCTGCAGCTCAGTTTTACTTGGATGTATACTTGCTGAGTTGCTTAATCTTCCCACGTTTCTCAAAGAATCTGCAAGGCTTTGGGGGAAGGTGGAAGCTCTCTGCAGGAAAGTACAAAAGCCTCACTCAGTCGCCGCTACTCCACCACCACCTCCTGAGCTGTCACTGGGCACCATCTAAGGTGTTTTCTGACCCCACCTCCCCATCAGCAGCCATAGAGACAGAACTCATGCTGGCAATCATTCTCAGAATGACAGATCCTCTGCAACTGTGCAATGTCCTGGCAGCTGTATGCCCAAATACACAATTTTGCAAGGGGCATGCACAGGAATTATCAACTTTACTTAGGAGTTCCACTTAAGACCAAGAAGCAGCCCCTGCTAGGTCTATATCAGACTGCCTGCAGGGTGATTCCCACCTTGGGCATGACCTGAGCAAACTTTGTTTACTAGGAGACCAGAGCGAGTGGCATGTACCTAACCATGTAGTTTCCAAAGTCTTAAATCTTTGGAAGAAGGGGTAGCAATCCTCCCCCAATTCTGCCTTCCTGTTGTAGACCGCCCCCCTTTGCCCTGATGGTATTTTTAAGGGTCTGTGGGCCTCCAGGAATAAAATATTTGTGGGGGTGGGGGTCAAAAGACTGCAGCAATAGATGGAGGAGGGCAAGTTCCACTCTGCAAAGTCTGCAGCTTATGGAATAGACCTCACTATGTCCATCATCCACATATTGGTCTCGTTTGCCATGACAGTACAGAAGCAATCTTTAAGGACTGAACCCCGTGAATTACTGTGAAGACCCATTGCATGACACCCAAATGATCAGATTAAAACTTTGTACTCCCACCGTTTTATTGTATGGCTGTACATCTGTCAAAAAAACAACTCTGTACTCGGTCTTGAATTCCAGCCCACCTCTTCTTACCCCTAAAATCCAGTGATCCTCCCCCTCCCATGTATTTTGAGGCATGCATTTCACTGGAGCACCACTGACCTTGAGGTACTGCAGACGGGCCTCAAGCTCTGCTCTCCGGACTGATGTGCCATACAAGGTCTCCAGCCTGAATTGGGGTGGGGGGGAAGAACAAACACAGTAGCTCTGATGACTGATCGCTGGTTGGACCCCGTGGCATTATTGCTGTGGAAGAGCCCGCGTGGGCTGGGGAAACCTGCAGCTCCCAGCGTGAACCATCCCCGCCTCACCTGAGCATATTCCCAGAGGCTTTGATGATCTCCACAATCTCACGGTGGCGGATCCCCTCTACATTGAGACCATTCACGCCCGTGATTGTGTCTCCTGTGGGACAGAGGGGAACCAGGCGGCGGAGACGTCAGTACCCTTTTCATAACCTTAAAAAAAGCACTAAACCAGCATATTCAGTTCTCTTTGCCAAGCAACGGAGTACCTGTACAGGGAGGGCAAGGATAACCTGTACTGCAAAGGTAAAAGCCGTGTGCTGACATAGCCCCAACATTCTGCGAGAATGAGATTCTGCAAACTGCATTGATCATGCTAAATTCCATCTCTAATACATACACAGCCTATGAATGCTCTGGTGCCTGCCGAGGGTTCCCCAGGCCACAGGCTCCAGTTTTCATATGCTTGCCTGGCTTGGTCTATATAGTTTCAGGGCTTGAGCTGCTTAAGGCTCAGAAAGAAGGAGGTAGCATCAGGGCATACGTCCAGAAGTAAAGGAGGCAGCTATTTCCCTCAAGGTGAAGGGTGAACCATATGACAGATCCGCACCTGGTCAGTGCTCGACTGGGAGCCCTGTGTACATCACCATGAATTCCAGGATGGAAAAGGTGGGAAATAAGTGAAGCAACATGAAGACCAATTTCCACTCCCCCCCCCAATTGCATAGTTTAAGCTGTCCCCCTCCCCTAGAATATTTTATTTATTTATTTTCAATTTATATCCCACCCTACCCAGCAAGTGGACTCAGGGCAGCTTACAACGATAATAAGGCAATAAATAATAATTGGCAATAAATAATAATTCACAAAAGCGTCAACAATTCCAGTTAAAAAATCTCTTATGGCAGCATAACAATTACTAAGCTATTGTGCCTGCTGCAATAATGTCAAGGGAGGGCACATTCTCTTAAGAGACCGAAGTCAGCTGACGTTGATGCCAGGTTGGTATAGGCAGTGCCCTAAGGCAGGTGAAGTGAATTGAGCAGACTGATCAAGCTGAGCAGGGAAGGCCGGTGTCGCTTGGACATCTGCCGCCTCAGCCAAAGGCTTGGCGGAACAGCTCAGCTTTGCAGGCCGTGCAGAACTGTATTAAATCCCACAGGGCCCTAACCTCAACCAGAAGCATGTTCCACCACGCAGGGGCCACGGCTGAAAAGGCCCTGGCTGAGGCAAGGCGGATGGTCTTTCGGGCTGGGAAGTACCAAACGGTGCTGCTTAGAAGAGCATAAAGCTCTTCAAGGCACATATGGGGAGAAAACGAGGAAACTGGGGTGGAGAGGTGCTAAGGCGGTACACAGAGCTTCCTACTTTTGGCATATTTGGTGGGCTGTTTACCAAGTCTCCTGTTCTAAGTTGGATGCAGAAGGTACTGAAGAGAGACAAGGTCTCTGAAACCCAATCAGCATTTCCCTAGTTTTTGGAGACAACCATTCCTCAAAGTGAGCCATCGCACAAGGCTCAAACCCAGAGCGGCTTATTTGGTCATGTCATCCCTTACCAGGCTTAAGCCCTGCTACCTGGGCTGGACTCCCATCATGTACGCGACAAACAAAGGTGAACATCTCCACACTTTTGGTGTCCTGGTGGTGCAGCCCATAGGTCTGAAATGGAGCAGAGAGAAAAGGGGGGGGGGGTCTATTAGATATCCACAGCACAAGCTCAAGAGCATCCAAGCTTCATTACAGCCTGAGCATTACCTAGTCAGGCAGACACATCTACATGTACAAGAGGTACCTCCTGGCACCAAAGATCCAGAAAGATACAACGTAGAAACAAAGATTTCCCCAAGAACTGGATACATCCCCTTTGGATTCTGAAATCATACAATGCTGCTGGTGCAGTATTTGGCCAACGTTTAACTTTGCTACCCAGGCCTAAGAAGCGGAGTGTGATGCTAGGCCCCAGAAACGACGAAATCTTAAAATTTAAGCTCTCCAGTGAAAAGGATCAGGTAGGAGTTGATGTGAAA